GAGCGATGTCTTGCAATACGAGTAGTTTGTTTCTGGAATGAATTATGCTCGCAAACCAAGGTATTACTGTATGTATGTATGTGTGTGTGTGTGTGTGTGTGTGTGTGTATACATATACATATATTATATATATGTGTATATATGTAATATATACATACACATATGTATAATCTTTCTTTCTACATTTGCCCTATAAATGGAAAAGGCATGTATTTGGGAAGATCGAGTGCCCTAATTTATATGGCATCTGTAATAGCTGAGCTCCTCAGCTATTACAATAATAAAAACATCATTCTTCTGGCATATGCAGATGGTGAATTAACTACTGTAATAAGTAGTATATTTTAAAAAGACATAGAAAAGAACAGTTGTTACTCTTCTGAAATTTATTCATTAGCGACAAGTTTTCAGTGTCTCTTATTAGTTAAAATAACCTCTATGGGTCACCACTTCTAGCCCACAACGTCTAACTACACTTATGTCAAGCAACGGAGCTTGATCACATTTCACAACTCTTTGACATCAATTTCTCTAGGAGGCAGTTCCAAAACACCCAGGTTGAGCTAACTGGCTCCACCCCAGTACTTCCATGTTACCCAATGCACACTTGTATTTCAGGAATTGTTATATCACATTGCAATCAACTGTTCACACGTGTTATGTCCCCTACTAAGCTGTAGAGGCCTTAGGAATAGCCTGTCTTAACTATCATCCCAGTGCCCAGCAGCACGACCACAAAATGGTACTCAATGTTTGCCAAACTGCTGGCCATTCATCATTATGACCCAAGTGATTTTTAGTCTGACTTGGCCTAATGTTTCAAAACTATTGTCTGTTACCTTTTAAAGAATTACTGAACTTAAGATTTTAATAAATCACACCACCTAGGCTGTAATGCTGTCCAAGAGAGCTTCTGGAATCCATGTGCTCTATCCTGATGAGAACACAAAGGCTAATTTGTTTGAGACCTCAAGCCTAGAACTTGGCTGGGAAGTAAGATAATTAACTTTTGGAATCACAGAATTTGGGAGAGAACTGTCAAGGCCATCCAGTCTTGGGACTCTCTCCACACAGGGACTCATGCCAAGATGTCCAGTTTCTCTGTGAACACCTCCAGTGAGAGACATGTTTTCAGTCAGGTCCCTCTATTATGGGCAGACCCCAGTATGGTTTTTCTTCAGTTGGTCAAAATTCATCTCCTTGCAATTTCCACCCATTGGTCTAAATTGGTCCTCTTGATGACAAATAAATCCAGTTTTTCTTTCTTTTGGAAGTCCTTCATATATGTGAATTTAGCTAGGAGGCCTATCCCACATAATTCTTCCCTTCTCCAGCTAAACGCCCCAGGTTTGTCAGCTGATCCTTATACAACCTGCTTATAATCCCATTTCATTGCTCTCCTATGAATATATTCAGTTTTGTCAACATTTCTCTGAAGAGTTGTCACTGAAATTGAATTATAGAACATGTCAACTTAGATTTAACCAGTACAAAGGGCAGGACCATCACCCCTCTTATTCTAGACACTATTTCTATTAATACAGTCCAAGATCTCATAGNCAGCACTGTTCCCATCCCCCCAATTCCCCAATAAAAATCTTAAAAATAAATAAATAAATAAAACATGGCATATGTGGGGGCGGGGATGGGAATATAAATCCACAGGAAAAGATCTAGAAAGACACAGAAAAATAAAATAAATAAATAAATAAATAAGGGTTACTCTGGTAAACCATCTGCGACAAAGAATGAAGAAAACCACTGAATAAACAAAAACAATCCCCAAAAGAAACAACAAGACTTTACCTTCCATGGTATTTTATTATAGTTAACCTACCATGGCACAGCAGTTTTCATAGCTACCTGAGTTTTCTCCTCAGATTGGAAGTTGTTCATAGCAAAATGTAAAATCAGACAGAATCCAATAATTCTTCTGCAAGAAGAGGGGTGCTTTGAGATTGGACTTGATGTTAAATGCTCATCCACTCAGAGTTTGGTGGAGAATACATATAGGTAGAAGTAACTAAGGGGCAAGATACTTCCATCTATCCTTGGTTAATAGGCTTACCCAACTGCACAAATAAATTCAACGGTAACATAAACTATGCAAAGGAATCATACGTTCAGGGCTGAAAGCAGAGTCAAAGAGCCTTTTTGCATCACGAGAAGCCAGGAACCACAGTCCACGGGTAGTATGCAGTACCAACCTTGCTGCGGCCTCTACTGGGACTTAACAGGCCAAGTTTCAGGTTTGATTGGATCAAGGCCCATAGATCCTACTAGCTTGATAAACTGGGGAAGAGGGATTATTGGTTTTGTTTGTCAGCTGAAAAGTTAAAAGAAGTTAACGCTCTAAGTAACGCCTCCTGGAGCAGTCCTTTAGAGTGACAGAAGGCAGCACTCTTCAGGTATCCGGAATAGAAAACTTCAACAGTTCTAAAGAAATCTTACTAAGAACTCAGCTTCCTTTCCAACTGCTCCTTATCCCTTAGGACAACTAACAGGAATCATCATAATCATACCACCAATTCAGGGATGCTGTCTAGAGAGTTTACACAGTATTAATTGCAGTATATGGAAAATAAAAGACTAGCTAAATCTGAATAAGAATAATTTTGTAGAACGAAATTATTACTCTCTTACTAAGAATCTAAATCCAGGTTTCAAACAGCCCTATGAGGCCACCAGGGAAGACTAGTCTGTTCACTTCCCTTTTTAGATTTAGTAGGAAACACAAAAACCTGACTTACTTCAAATGTTGTCCCAAGCCAAATGCTATTCTGAAGTAGATAACTGCTCAATAAAGGCCGCTGATAATGGACGCATACTCCTAATCTGGTCTATCTCATATTAGGACTGAGGGCTCAGACCCATTTATGCCAGCATTTTATTTAAAACCAGAGCTCTATTTGAAATTTGAGGCAAGGTATGTCTTACACCCGTGTTACCCTTGGCTGCCACCCAAATCCAGGCCCCTCTTGTTACTGGTCCTCCTCAGCGCTATCACGTCCCTATACGTTCCACGCCTCTTTCCTCCTGATTCCACTTCCCATCTCTCCTTTCCCCTGCCTGGAAGCTTTCTACTGTGTCCTCTGTATTCCAGGTTCCGTGCTGAGTCAAGCTTCTACCCTGTCTTTTTCTTCATAAATGAGAGCTGGCTTTCCTCCCAGAACACCGCTGCCCTTACAGCGCCCCCAGGTGGAGGCTGCTCTTCTCTCAAATCCCATAGCTGAGGCCTGAGGACCATGTTTTCCTCCTTTTCTTTTTCTTTTACCAGTGTCCACTGGCTCTTTCAGGTGCTGGGGATNTTACCTGTTTTCTGCTATTCAAATATGCTCCCTACTTAGGTAATGTTCCTTATTTAAAAGTTTTTCATATACTTTCTTGGATCATAAAGCAAGTATCCCTTTCACCAAAAAGTGCCAAAAGGTATACGCCAGGAAAACCAGACACCGTTTACATGGAAAGAGCTGGGCATTTTTAGTTAAGTAAATTTCAACCTGTTTTAAGTCCTAAAAAATGAATTACCTTATTACGTCTGTTACTACAAATAGAAAATGCAACTCACTTATCAAGGAAGGGCTTTAAGGAACTTATACAACAAAAGGAAACATAGGAAAATAGGTAAGCAGCTCAGATGAAGCAAAAATATTTTTATTCTGGGAAATGTAAATCTATTCTGGCTATTATTTAAATTAATTTTTGACTTCTAGAATCATTAATAACCCTTTGTCCTAAATTTTTCATCATGATCAGCACTGTCTAGGAGTATATTTCATGATAAAAACAGAACACATAGTAATAATTTATTGGAGATACTAATATGGATACATTTTAGGGAGTCAAAGTAACCCTCTAACATAAAACACTGGTTTAGACTTGTGTTAATGCTTCCACGTAAAACATTAGCTGTAGGCTCTGAGCAGCTTTGTGGACATAATACACAAGAGATATTAGAGTAATGTAGCCTTATAGTAATAGGATACAATTATGACTTATCAAATGATCAGAAATCTTCTGGTCTGGAGGGAACCCCCTCACTAGGTAGAAAATCGTCTATTAAGCATTCTTGAAATGAGGGTGGATGTGAAGGAGGACAACATACAAGCACCCAGGCTACACCTTATTAAAAGGTAACCTTGCAGAGTTCTCACTTGTACCTGGAACCAACGTGGTGGCTTTCTAAGGGAACTGTATGTCTAGAGCAGCGAAGATCTTCTTGGGGAGTATCAACTGCTCATCACATTAAGTGTTTCCTTTTGTTGTAATAATAGCTGCTGGGGACTATCCATCCTTATAGATTCTCTATAGAAAACACTTCTCAAACTTCACAACAGAGTAATATGTTTACTAAGTACAAATAAATGCAGACATATCCAGGAGGGTTTATAGCATACCTGTTCCTCCACAGGTGTCTCTGCAGCTGCTCTACAGAGTCTTTGCAAAGTATCAACAGCTGAGCTGATCAATTCTAGAGACCACTGGAATCCATTCAGTTTACACTTGACAACATCTAAAAAGGAAATCAAAACCCTTGATGTTTAACTGCTTAAAAATACACTGAAAGTGAGAGGCAGTGCCTTTTCAAGATTCTTCAATAGACACTCACCCGTCACCTTGTCTCGGGTACTCTTAGGAAGATGCTTTGCAATATGCCCAATAACACACAGAATATGTCCTAAGGTGCTTGAATTGGGATTCCGCTGACTAAGAAAAGGGCAGAAGAAATATCAGTATAGAATCAAAGTAAATACTGCTGCCAACAAAATACTTTTCTTCTGGATTATTAATACAAAAGGAAGTAGGGTAGCACAGTTTGGGAGTCACGTTGTAGGAGCATTAAGGCACGTAAAGTACTTGGACAAAAAGTAAACTGAAAGCGTAAAAGTGATTCTTACGCTTCATGTTTGTTTTTAAGCCTGAATTAAAAAAAA